CAGTCTAACAGGTAAACTAGTTAACATTCCAACAGGTAAACTAGTTAACATTCCAACAGGTAAACTAGTTAACAGTCTAACAGGTAAATTAGTTAACAGTCTAACAGGTAAACTAGTTAACATTCCAACAGGTAAACTAGTTAACATTCCAACAGGTAAACTAGTTAACAGTCAACATTGTTCTTTTGTTTATTTTTCCAGTTTTATGTACGGAGAGCTGACAGACAAGAAGACCATCGACAAAGTCCGAAACACTTTTGACAACTATGAGTCCAACTGTTTCGAAATCCTGCTGTACAGAAAAAACAGTCAGTTTTTGTTTTAGATTTGTCTTTATGTCCCTGTGTCTTTGTGTCTCTGTGTCTTTATGTCCCTGTGTTTTTATGTCCCTGTGTCTTTATGTCCCTGTGTTTTTATGTCCCTGTGTCTTTATGTCCCTGTGTCTTTGTCCCTGTGTCTTTATGTCCCTGTGTTTTTATGTCCCTGTGTCTTTATGTCCCTGTGTTTTTATGTCCCTGTGTTTTTATGTCCCTGTGTCTTTATGTCCCTGTGTCTTTATGTCTCTGTGTCTTTATGTCTCTGTGTCTTTATGTCCCTGTGTCTTTGTGTCTCTGTCTTTGTGTCTCTGTGTCTTTATGTCTATGTGTCTTTATGTCCCTGTGTCTTTGTGTCTCTGTGTCTTTATGTCCCTGTGTTTTTATGTCCCTGTGTCTTTATGTCCCTGTGTTTTTATGTCCCTGTGTNCTGTGTCTTTATGTCTCTGTGTCTTTCTGTCTGTGTCTTTATGTCCCTGTGTCTTTATGTCCCTGTGTCTTTATGTCCCTGTGTCTTTATGTCCCTGTGTCTTTCTGTCTCTGTGTCTTTATGTCCCTGTGTCTTTATGTCCCTGTGTCTTTATGTCTCTGTGTCTTTGTCCCTGTGTCTTTGTCCCTGTGTCTTTATGTCCCTGTGTCTTTATGTCCCTGTTCTTTGTCCCTGTGTCTTTATGTCCCTGTGTCTTTATGTCCCTGTGTCTTTATGTCCCTGTGTCTTTGTCCCTGTGTCTTTGTCCCTGTGTCTTTATGTCCCTGTGTTTTTATGTCCCTGTGTCTTTGTCCCTGTGTCTTTGTCTCTGTGTCTTTATGTCTCTGTGTTTTTCTGTCTTTGTAAACTTCTAAATCTGTCTTAATTCTCGTGACGAGTGCACATTTACAAAGTTCTGATGTGTTGCAGGAAGTCCTGTGTGGTTCTACATGCAGGTGGCTCCGATCCGGAATGAGAACGATAAGGTGGTTCTTTTCCTCTGCACCTTTAAGGACATCACCCTCTTCAAGCAGCCCATCGAAGACGAAACCACTAAAGGTGAGACGGTGCACCTGTACTGACAGACCAGGGGACAGACCAGGGGACAGACCAGGGGACAGACTGGGAGACAGACCAGGGGACAGACTGGGAGACAGACCGGGGGACAGACTGGGAGACAGACCGGGGGACAGACTGGGAGACAGACCGGGGGACAGACTGGGAGACAGACCGGGGGACAGACCACGGGACAGACTGGGAGACAGACCAGGGGACAAACTGGGGGACAGACTGGGAGACAGACCAGGGGACAGACCAGGGGACAGACCAGGGGACAGACTGGGAGACAGACCAGGGGACAGACCAGGGGACAGACTGGGAGACAGACCAGGGGACAGACTGGGAGACAGACCAGGGGACAGACTGGGAGACAGACTGGGAGACAGACCAGGGGACAGACTGGGAGACAGACTGGGAGACAGACCAGGGGACAGACCAGGGGACAGACCAGGGGACAGACTGGGAGACAGACCAGGGGACAGACTGGGAGACAGACTGGGAGACAGACCAGGGGACAGACCAGGGGACAGACCAGGGGACAGACTGGGAGACAGACCAGGGGACAGACTGGGAGACAGACTGGGAGACAGACCAGGGGACAGACCAGGGGACAGACCAGGGGACAGACTGGGAGACAGACCAGGGGACAGACCTAAAGTCAGACTGGGAGACAGACCAGGGGACAGACCAGGGGACAGACTGGGAGACAGACCAGGGGACAGACTGGGAGACAGACTGGGAGACAGACCAGGGGACAGACCAGGGGACAGACCAGGGGACAGACTGGGAGACAGACCAGGGGACAGACCTAAAGT